TTATTGATAAGTTTGAATGTATGTTATTGGAACTATCAAAATACAAACACTGTAAAATAATTATCACAGGAGACATAAATTTTGACATTAGAGAAAAGAAAAAAAATGTAAATGAGTTTTTAAATATGTTAAAGTCATTTAATTGTTGTTGTCACAACTCAAAACCGACTAGATATGAAGCATGTCTAGACAATATAATTAGTAACTTAACAAACACAGACTTTACTTTTGATTGTATTAACTTAGGTCTATCTGATCATGATGGATTATGGTTAAAGATGAGTAGTTTTTTCAATAAGAGCAGGAAAGAGGTTAAATTTCGTATATTAAGTGACAAAGCTATTAATTCATTTCAAAATGATTTAAATATGGTTGACTGGTCATATGAATTGTATCCCTTTAATAATAATATAAATGCATGTTTTGATTATTTTATGAACAATTTAAAATTAATTTTTGAATCAAACTGTCCCATTGTTACTAAAATAAACAATAAAGACAATATCAAGCAAGCATCTCAACATAGCTCTAAGTGGTACACTGATCGCCTCCAAAGGATAAGAATAATGCTTTTAATATATAAGGACAAGTCTCACTTGAGTGAACAAAATAGATTAAATTATTTAAGACTGAGAAAAATTTATAGACATGAAATAAAATTGTCTAAGCGCAAGGTTAATGATGAGTACATTGCAAATTCAAAAAATAAAGTTAGGGCTGCTTGGAATGTAATAAAGAATGAAATCAATGATTCTAAGATGGAAAATTCTGTTCCAGTTGATATAAATGTTTTAAATTATAGTTTTGTAAATTCTGCTTGTTTACCACTGAATAATAACAGTTCACTTAACAGACAAAGTGCAAGGGACCCTATTGCTCTACTCTCAGCTTCAAGAAAGGTTGATACTAAATTCCAATGGTCACCAATCTCCCAATTAAATATTATAGAGTCCATTAATAGACTAAGTAGTTCTAAGGCTGAAGACTATTATGGCTTCTCCAATTATGTAATCAAAAAGATAGGCCCTCTTTTGATATATCCACTTACCATTCTATATAATATGATGATTGAACAAGAAATTTTTCCAGAATGTCTTAAAATATCAGTTACAATACCAATCTTCAAAAAAGGGGAAAAAACTGATCCAAATAATTACAGACCGATATCTCTAATCCCAATTCTTTCTAAAATATTAGAACACTGTCTACACCAACAAATTTATTCATATTTTGAAAAAAATAACTTGTTCTGTGATAGTCAGTTTGGTTTTAGATCAAATTTGTCCACAATCAAGGCCTTGGAAAATATAATCACAGATATTTTTAACGGTTGTGATGGTAAAATTAATATGTCTGCAACATTAATTGATTTGGCTAAAGCTTTTGACTCAGTCTCTCATGAAATTCTTATTAAAAAATTGGCTTTTTACGGAGTAGTTAAAAAATCATTAAATCTGTTAAGCTCATATTTAGTGAACCGTTTCCAGCTGGTGCAGGTAAATAATTCAAGATCTAATATGTTAAAAATCAAAATTGGCATACCTCAAGGATCAGTCCTTGGGCCTCTACTTTTTATTGTTTTTATTAATGATTTGCCTTGTTTTGTTCCCTGTAAAACCACTCTTTATGCTGATGATACTACATTCCTCACAAGTGGTCAAAATCTGAACAAAGCACTTGAAGAACGGGATGGGGTGTTAAAGTTGGCTGAAGAGTGGTTTCGGGGAAATGAATTAAGGATTAACAACTCAAAAACAGAAGAAATTCATTTTAACCTTAGAATAAATTCTAATGACAATAAATCAGTAAAATTGCTAGGAATCCATATTGATCAGAAGCTGAATTGGATTGAGCATACAAACTTTTTATGTAGTAAATTGGCTAGAACTGTATTTTTATTTAACAAATTAAAGAACAATGTAAGTGAACAAATTATTCTAAATTGTTACTACGCATTTTTCCATTCTCACCTACAATATGGTGTTCTCTTATGGGGTAACTCTGTAGGAGCCAAAACCGTTTTCAAATGGCAAAGGAAAGCAGTCAGGTGCATTAGAGGAACAATGCCCAGGGAAGATTGCAAAGCAGATTTTAAGGCCCTAAATATCCTAACCCTTCCATCTTTATACATTTTAAATTGCTTATTATACGTAAAAGAGAATATAGACCAGTATAGCATCCGATCTGACATACATAAACATTACACAAGAAATAGCCATCATCTCAACTTACCAATTACAAGACTTACACTTACACACAATAGCTACAAATATCTTAGTATACAATTTTTTAATAAATTGCCCCCTTCTGCAGTAACGATTCCAATAAAAAAATTCAAAACAGTCCTTCATTCATGGTTAAAATTAAAATGTTTTTACTCTGTAGATAAGTTCTTGTCCTTGGAGGTTTTAGATATAAGTTTTTAAATAATTTATTTAAGATCAAGCTTCCTGTTATTTATTATGACTATGTTTAATGCTTTAATGATAAGATGCCATTTGACAATGTCAATTGCTTTTGTAGAGCTGAAAGACAATAAAAAGATTTGATTTGATTTGATTTGATTTGATTTAGGCACAAACGTAAACCATGCTTGACATCCAAAAATCTTGAGTTTGGAAAGATCTTGTTTTCCATACCACAGTTTTTCAGGTGTTTCCCTTCTTTCTATGTAGGCCTTCTGTTGAGTTCAAAAGCTGAGCACCGTAATGCTTCATCCCAAAGATATTTTGGTACGCTCGAGTCTATTAATTTCGTTCTTATTTTGTCAACAGTGTTCGGTTCATTCGCTCTGATTTTCCATAACTTTGTGGACTGTATGGTAAAGTGTACTGTAATCTAATAATGTTCAACCTCTATGGTTATTTAATTATTATTTAACCATATTTTTTATTTACTTTCTTTACTGATATTGTCTTGTATTGTTTTGTCTTAATTAAAACAGTTTAGCTTCTTTTGATCTTTTAATTTTTATCTAAATAAGAAATAGAACAAATAACTTTACTTTTGACATAACACTTGAATTTATTTGAGGTAACTTCTCCTCAATTGTCAAGTCTAATATTCTTAAATTTCACTCCATGCTGAGTCTCAACTTGATTTACATAGTTTACCAAGAAATATTCTGCTTCATTGTTCTGTTTAAGTAGGTTAACTACTACAAAGTTAGAAAAGTCATCAATTATCACTTGAAAATATATTTCTCCGTTGTGTGATAGAGGGTCCACTAGTCCCCAGAGATCAGAATGGATAAACTCACCTATATGTCCGGTGGTTTCATTCTGTTTGACAAAAGGTAATCTAGTACCCATGCCTTAGATGCATGTAGAACATTGTTCCGATGACCTTGGCATTCCCAGTTCTAAAAGACTTTTTCTATTCAAATGGCCAAGTCTTCTGTGCCATAGGTTGTCATCTTCTTTCTCTGGGACTAAACACTGACTGTTGTTAGATAATATTTCATAGTGTAGCTTATACAGACCTCTCTCAAAATTGCATACAAATTTAAACTTATTACCAATAATTTTCATGTGGTTTGTGTCAATAACTATTTTATAGCCTTTTTCAGCTAACTTATTCAAAGCTATAAGATTATGTTTTAGGTTTGGCACAATGAGCCCCTCAATAGTAATTACCCTGTTGTCAAATAACACATTAATTTTCCCTTTCTTATCTACTTTCATTATTTCACCATTTGCTATGTGAATTCCTACACTGTTTGGTAAGTTTTCTAGTTTATACATACTGTCTATTAAATCTTCTTTAATTACTAGCACTTTAATTACTTTCTTTGATTCTAGAATAAAATCTAGATTCACATGAATCTAGAATAAAAACATCATTTTGGCTTGATACAAAACGCACTCTTTAATGAAAGAGTGTGTTTTGAACAGACAATTGCCTTGTAGTGCAATAAAAGATCCTTGGTTATTATTAAATTGTCTATTACCTCGGAAAAATCTCTGATTAGACATTCCTCTTGTGTACTGACCTCTATTTGGTGTGACAACAGACGCTGTCGCCACAATTAAAACAACCAGAGTTACTTTTAAAGCTTACCTCATTTTCATTACTTGGTCGACTTTCTCTAGAAGATTTTACGGACTTTGATTTTGCTTCTTCATAGAACAAACGAGATCTGACCAAATCCATTTTCAAGTTGTCATGAGTTTCTAGAGCTTTTATAACTGTCTCGTATTCTTTCGGAAGGAAAAGTAATAAGTGACAAATTTTATCACTTCCATCAATCTTGAACCCATGGTCTTCCAATTCTCTAACTAACGAATCAAATCTTAGGAGATGATCTTCTAATGACTCATTCCTTTCACATTTTAGGTTAACAAGCCTCCTCCAAAGTGTTAATTTTGAAAAAGAGCTTGACCTAACAAAAATGTCCTTTAAAGCTTTTAACATGTCCATGGCTGTTTTACAATCTTTTACAATATCTAAGTGTTTAACAGAGAGAGCCCTTGAACTATAATAGCATTGGTTTTAGAATCATTTACAAAAAACTTATTTGTCTTATTTTCATCTGTTGATGGTTCTTCTGTGGTTACTGATAGTAACTGTTCTTTTTCCAAAATAGAATTTAGTCTAAATTTCCAATCATTACAATTTTAAGAAATATTTATTTTAAAGTTATTTGTTAATCTGCATTTTATGTGTTAGCAGGTTAGCGCTATTATATGAATCTATATACTTATTTAATACGCAAGCAGGTTTTTTGTGACGATTACTCCTCCGAAACTACTGAACCGATTGACATGTTTTGGTGTCATTGGAAAAATTATGACTGTTATTCGTTTTAGAATAATGCCTGTAATACTTAGCAATTGCTAGAATTCGAGCAACAGGTACACTAGTATAACAAATAAACTACATCTTCCCACACCATTCACAGTTTCATTATCAAGCCTCTTGCGTCAAAAATTTTTTGGACATCAAAAACATTGCCTCATGAAATTATGAATAAATTTACAACATCTCCAAAGGAGATTTACCAGTGCAGTGGCGGAGGGGGTAGATGCTGTGGTAGTAGTGGCAGTGTTTGTACTAACACTGACACTGTTAGGTTGCTGGACAACCACGTGGTTGTGGCTACCGGGACTCTGGCTGCTGTGGTTGTGGTTCTGAACAACCACGTGACCCTGGTTGGCTTGCTGAACCACCACCTGTCAACACATTTAGTAATTGTATTACGTGTGTTAAAGCTAATTAGCAGGGGCATAAATAACTAAAGAAATTTAATTATATGTAAATGAAGGGAAAGCATTAAAACTCATTATTTTGCAATTAAATATTAAAATCCCCTTTTAAGCGGGGAAGCTCCTCAAAACTCTCGTCCCCCGACCAAACTCCTTCTTGATCCTTGTTAGGCCTACCCTAAAAATTATTCTTGGAGCCCCCCCTACTAATTAGGGACTGAAAATTTAAAATAAACTGAGATACTACCAAGAATGCTTTAGAAAGATCAGTCGCTGTACAAATCATACATAAACACTTAGAGTGAAATTGTATCAATGTATACCTTTATGCTAAGTTAAATGTTATGTTTGCCATACCAAATTGAAGTGTGGTCAGGTTCTTAGAGGCGATTTCATATTGTTAGAACAGAACAAATAGCTCTTGATGAAGCAATATATGTGCCTAAAAATGCTGGTGTGACAAAAATAATTGTGCTAAACTGATACCCAATGGTCAAAACTATTATTCCAGCCAGTAGAAGGCATTATACAAATCAGTTGAAGTAGCCTAACAAGAGTAGCAAGGAAGCATCTAGTGTCTTGTATTAGCTTTTAGCACTTGGTTTGGCATGGGACAGTGCCTCATGTTTACCTGAGCTTGGCCAGAAGGTGTAGCTAGTTGAGCCAGTTGCACTTGCTGCAGCTGACCTGAGGGTGTCAGGATCTGAGCAATCTGTGGCTGCATCTGAAAACCATCATGTTTACACCAACTATGAAAAGTGTGTCAATAATAAACGCTTATTAAGTTTATGCCAACCATGTGTAATTGTCAAGCAACCAAATCACCTATCAGGAGTTATAAAGGTCGGATGAGAAAACAATAATAATTTGTCTGAATGCATATTGCTGTTGACTTTTGAGTACTGACACATACCAAACACACCTATAATCTATAGTTGACTAGTTGGTTATTCAAATAGAACATAGCTGCTGAATAAGCACAATCAAATTTATATTTTTGCCCTAAGTTCATGACAGGTGGTGTGACTTTAATATTATATTTCACCACTACTAGACACGAAAGTGACTCATTTCGGGGCGAGACAGAGACATGCGAGTCGAAGACGAGCAGGGGAAACACTATCTAGCCCCGAAATGGGACTTTCATGACGAGTATTGAACAATGTTTTTCATCCCGATGAAAAAACTACTTCATCAAACTTTAAAAAAATCTGATCTTTTGTAATCTATTCATTTTTCTTCAGTTGTAACTTTGTTGATTTCAGGCAAAGTATTGTTTGTTTAGCGAAAGTAATGTTTATGTAGGGAAAGTAATGTTTATTTCAGAAAAAGTCAGCCGATCACCATTTGTTTTTGGTGTGTGGAAATTGACGATTTTCGATTTTCTCAGCTCTATGGAAATGAGCCATAAGAGCCCTCGCCAACCTTGTCCCACCACAGACTTGCAGACTATCATTCGCAAACCTAGGAATCCTCACAGTGGTGTCTCTCTACATACTTGAAACCATAAAGTATGTGGATGAAATAAACCCCCCAAGAAACCAAGAGCTACACCACTACAACACCCGTCATGGCTCCAAATTTGCCCTACCAGTTCACCGAACAACTCTTTGGGGAAAAAAAAACCTTCCTACACCGGCTGCAAACTAAGGAACCATCTACCTAACTACCTGAGAGACCTGACTGGCAACAAGCTACACCAGGAGTTGAAGAAGTGGCTAATCGCAAGACCCTTCTACTCAATAAAGGAATTTTATGAAAATCATGGAAATTAACACGTACAATTCACTATTGTATTGACACTATTGTAATTCTTAACGAATGAACAATAAAGAATATTGTATTGTATTGTATTGTATTAAATTTGGCTTGACGGTGTAGGATAAGATAAACTTGAAAGATTGCTTACCAGCAAGATCGGGTCATGAGAACAAGGTAGGCTACTATGGGGTTTTACATTTTGTTTTACCCTTCAAACATGGAAATGTCCAATTTTCAATACAACCATCATGAAGAGCTTAAAAAACAAATAATTTTGTTTAATGAAGGGTTATTGTAAAGCTGTTGTAGTTTGCTTGTTTCCATCTATCTTGATAAAATTTGACAAATTTATATTCAGTAGACTCTCTCTTATCCAGACTCCTCGGGACCGAGGCGAGTCCGGACAGCGGTTATTCCGGTTAAACCGACGTCCCCATCAAAAACTTGTTAAAACGGACCGTATGAATGCATACTATTATTACTATATGAGCCAATACATATTTAGACACGAGATCACTGGTTTCAAATCCTTTTTGTTTCATTAACATTTCATTAACATGTTGGTGCAGACAAACCTTTACATAGTTTTGGTCCTATGTATTACATGGATGTTTTCATTTTATAAGGCAATTAATTAGGGGTGTGCGAATAGTGATTTTCAACCTCGAGCCGAGCCGAGCCGAGCTTTTTAAAATATTTTCGAGCTCGAGCTTTATCGAGCCGAGCTTTTCCTAGCGTCACCTTATAATAATAATAATAATAAATCTTTATTGTCGTTTGGTAATATAAACATTACATGTTTTGTTACATATGTTAAATAAAATATTAAATATTCTACAGAAAATGTTAAAATAAAGTTAAAAGGATAAAGCATCAGTAATAATAAAAACTTTAAAATTAACAGGGAAAAGACCATAACAAGAACAAAGAATCATCAAGACTGCTTGGCCTCACATTTAAGCGTTAAAAAATCTTCATTCTGCAAAAACTCATCAACTGAATAAAAAGCACGACTTGTAAGCCAATCTGATAATTTTGACCTATACAAATGAATACTTTCCTGATTTCTAAAATATATTGGAAGTTTATTAAATAGTTTTATTTGCAAGTATTTATAACTTTTGATAAATTTTGATAGCCTGGCTTGAGGAATATATAAATCTTTTGATTGTCTGGTGATATACCCATGGATTGAGTTGCAAGGAACAAATTTATTCAGATTCTCTTTAACGGAAACTAAATTGTAAAAAATGAAAATATTAGAGAGTGTTATGATTTTATTTTCAGCAAAAAATGTTTTGCAACTAACCCTATCTGGAATTTCAAACATAATTCTGAATTCTGAACATTATCAAAAAAATAAATTATTAAACATTTTTCTTCAAAAAGTGCATAATAATAATAATGTTCAGTCAATTTTTAAATAAACACAATATTATTTTAATATGTCTAAAAACATTGAGAATTGTCAAGACATCAAATAGTAGATAATCACGATAAGAACTGAACTGAACTAAATTAAGATGCAAGAAATAAAAGGATATGATTGAAGGCCTGACGAGATATGCAGTGCAGACTGAGCCAATCAGATTGTCTTTCATAACAGAACAGCGCTATCTTGAATGACAACAAAACAACTAGCAAGTCGATTAAATATGTATATTGTAACTACTATGAATATTTTATTCCATTTTGTATAAATAAATAAATATAAAAACACGTGATTATTCTTGTTGTTTTCCATGCACAAAATATTTTTGTTTTATGAATCATATTAATCAATACCGCCGCCGCAGCAAACCTGCCGTCTAAGCGAATTTCCATTTGGCCGAATTGATTTTCAATTGATCTATTTAAATAACATTAGGTTTAACGAGTACCTAGGTTTGCTGCTACAAGGAAACTAATAAAGTAGTGTGTTTTTAGTAAAATATTGATAGCTTACTATAAAATAAATAAATTTGCCAAGTTTGATCAAAATATATCCATAAACAAGCAAACTACAACATTTTACAATATTCTCCATAAGAATAACATGGGAATTTTAAATTTACCATTTTTTTAGTTTTCTCCGTAACCAATAACCGTACAAAAACACTTTGATATACTGAATTGTTTGTTTTTTTAAGCTCTTTAAGAAGGTTTAGAGAAAAATTGGGAAATTTTGTGTTTTGAGGGTAAAAAGTGAGAAAAACCAATTTTTACCCCATAAAACCCCCCATAAAACCCTGTTCCCATGGTCCGATCATGCTGGATCGCGAACTCATTCAAGTTTATCCCGCCTTACACCTTCAAACCAAATTTCATCAAAATCGGATAAAAATTACTCAAGTTATCGTGTTCACGGACACATATATATATATATATATAAATCTATATATATATATCTATATATATATATATATATATATATATACATATATACACATTTGAACGAATGGTGTTTTTGGCCTCTGGGGACATTAAAATGAAAAAGTAAATCGGTCCCGGGCCTAAGTCTTACCATGAGACCTACGGTAATAGCTACTTCCCTATAGGGAAATTCGCTAAAAAGAACATGATTGGTTTGGATCAAAAAAGGTGAAGAGACAGAGTAAAAAGTAAAATTATATATTAAAAAATATATAATTGACATATAGAGGAAATAGACCAAAACACTAAAATTAATAGAATAACACACAAAGTAAACAAGAAATGAAATAATGAACACGATGATTTAACACTGTCACTAAATTCTGTTATCTAGAAGGGTCGGTGAACTAATCAATAAATAGCCAAAACCAGTTTCCTCCCCCATTTCTCTCTCAGTCTCACCACCACCCCTCCCCCCCTGAGCCGGGAGGCCCAGCACTTTGTCCTTGAAACACCCTAGCCTCTGAAACAATAAACCCTTACACCCGCGTTGCTGTTTTGACAACAGGGTTATGAATGCATTCACTATTTTTCATTTTCCAGGATTAACTCTCAATTATTATTATTTGCAAGTTACAAATAGGAAACTACATCACATTATGGTATTCAATGACCCATGTATTATCAAAAATTAATAATCCATTACTTATTTTGATAATAAAAAGCATTCATTACAGCACGCACCACTTATTGATATTTAAATAATCATCAAAGTAACTGTTACTTTATACAAAATAAAAATAAAATAGGTACAAAATTGTGTGGCCAGTCAAACTTTATAAACAAACATTTTATTCTATAAAATACAGATGGTAAATAGGGGTTGGTTTAAAGGAAATAAAATACAAAACAGATAATTAATTATTTTGATAAACATTAGAAAGGTTATGGGATTGATTGAACTAAAATAACCGCAGGGAAACTTATAAGTAGAAAAGTCGTCAACCACAATCTGTTTAATCAGTACATTGTTAGAGAGAGCAGAGAGAGAAAGAGAGATAGCAGATAGGGGCGTTTGATAAGGAATCTGAAAAAGTAAACAAACAAGGAACAACGACACGACAGACGATTGATACTTGTTTACAGCCTTATTGTGTCGCCCACTACATTTGCACACGTGACCACTTTTTTTTTCTTCCTTATCTTTCATCCGTCCCAAAATAGAATTCCTGAAATTGTTTGTTGGTATAATCTCCCCTCCCACACAAGGCGCAGTGCTCAGTGCGCACTGTAGGTTGTCACGGCAACCGTGTGTCGTCATAGCGACGAGCCAATCACGCACTCGCACTGCGTTGTATATTACGATTTACGATACGAATAGCTGTGTTAGAAAGACAACGCGATAGGTGGTAGTTTGTCTCTTTACTATCTCCTCAAAATTACGATCGATAATCATTGCGTCTTGACTGAGCTGAGGTTCGTGCTTATCAAACCTCGAATGATTGAACAACGTAGAATTGTGATAACATTGTTTCCAATTACGACCCAAATTAAGTGTTTTTTTTTTAGTTTTGACTTAGTATTAAAAGCTCGGCTCGAACTTCGAGCTTTTTCAAAATGCCTCGAGCCGAGCCGAATAATGAAAAGCTCGACCAAAAAGCTCGAAGGTTCGAGTACTCGCACACCCCTACAATTAATTGATCGATTACAGAAAATGGAATGTCTATGAGCAATTTAAAGATAGGTACTGACTGACATTTATTTGTATAGTCCCCAATGAACTTGTAATCCAATATTTAAATAAGATGCAAATAATCTCAACTTTATGATCACATAGAAAAATGTCAATCTCTTTAGGACTAAAAAATAGTCAACGTGATCTTTTATGACAATATTTCTGAGCGTCAGAAATGTGAGTGTAACAGATTACCCCGTGAATAGATGACTCATGTTACTCAAAAGCTGATTAACGTCACTATTGTTTAGTTTTTATTAATTAGTTTTAAATAAAGGAGACACTTTTTGCAACAGTAAAAGTTTCTATTTTTCAAAAACATAACAACTTATTTGTAAACAGATGTGAGATAAAAGTGAAGAATCATATGTTATTTTAAAGCATAGAATATTAAATATCTAAACAACTATGACATCAACCCCTGCCCCAGAAACTTTCATTTAACTTGATTGCATAGTTTACCTGAGACATCTGCGGAATCATCTGCACCTGGCCTGCGGATGTCTGCAGGATGTTAGGCAGAGAGGTGGCGAAGGCCTGCAGAGGGAAGTGTACAGTATGGTACACTGTCTGGCCGTTGTTGGTGGTGATCGGCACCTGCACAGGGATCGTCTGCTGGAGTGGAAACTGTACCACCTGAGGCATGGCAGGTCTCACTGTCACATTCTGGCCTGAAACCAACAGAAACTGATAATGGTAGGAGAAAGTTTGTGTGAGTAGTATTTTTGGAATTAAAAATATCCTTAATAATTTGGACCATCCAGCCAAATGCAAACATTAACAAGTAAATATAGACAAACATTTTATTCAAACCCTCAATCATCTGCAACATACACTAAGCGAAACAAATTTGTGGTAAAAATCAGAAAACCTTCCCCTTAAACTGCCTAAATTTTGTGAAATAGTGTAAACCCAAAAAAAGGTGTCTAGCAATGTAATCGACAAGAGTCACTCTCAGCATGAAATGCAGTTGTTTATAGCTCTTGAATCCCTAACAATCCTTTTTTTACCCAACATACAGATTTTTGTCTAAAACTGATTGACTTACCTCCAGGAAACTGCAGTGTCTGGCCCTGCAGAAGGCTGGTTGGCAGTACATTAGGACTGCGAATCAGCTGACCAGTTGGAGTCAGCAAGGTTTGACCTCCTGCAAGTTGGACCTAAAAATGAATAGTAGTGAGCTTTATTCACGTTTTCTAACATTCTGATTTCCAATTAGGTCTACAACAATTGAGTAATTATGTTTTGAAATTGTTACAAAGCAATATTAAATATATGACCAAATTTCTATTCAGGTCTTAAAAAACCCATTACCAGGTTTCTTTACTTCTATATTTATATATTTTTGTAGGTTATGTTCAGTTGTTATCATATTTAACTTAATTCAACACGATAGGCTAGGTGCATTTTAAGCGAAATAAAAGTCAAAAAAGAAAAATCCATGCCTTCCTCCTCTAGGCCCTATACTAATGTAGAAAAAAGCAAAACCGGTGTTGCGTGCAATCCTTATTAATCTTACTAACACCATTATCTGTATATCTAACTCCATAAATTTCCACTCTTTAAGCTGGACAACTTGTATTAAAGGTGGGCCCTCCATTCCAGCTAAGCCACATAAGCAAGCTCAATATGGATTGTAAATGTCAGGAATTTGAACCCGTGCATGTAGAAAGACCTCAACGCTACACTTGTCGAGGTGCAACGCCTTGGCCAATGAGTTACTGTTCCACCGTCGGGGGAACGGATTGTTTGCCACTATAAGCACGACGGCACTAGCCAAGGCAACACTAAATAGACAGGCTGTAATGTTCCTCTGGCATGACATCATCATAGGCGAGAATGATTTAATAAATACATTTCTTCTGTCCTATCCATTTTACCTTAACTTATAGAAACCTAAGGTTTTATATTTTATGGTTAATTTAACATGTGCCTTATTCTTTTATTATGATACTAGAGGACAAACAAAACTACAGTTAAAAAATATGTTGTTTTATTTGGTTAGTTTTAAAGTAGAATGTAAAATAACAAAGGAAGTTAGCGTCTCAGACTTTGGTGGGGCAGGGACGGGATTGATCCCCGACACATCCACAAAACTTTAAAGCTGGTTAGTATGTTTGAATTAACCTAAACAGTATTTTGAGGTACAGTACCTGTTGGCCTCCTGCTGGGATAAAAAGCGCCTCTTGACCATCGACTGTTACTGTTTGCATCTGCATCGGCTGCATCACATTAAACACATTGCCTCCCCCCGTCGACAACAGCTGCCCTCCTTGCTGGTAAACCAACATGCACAAATGTTATTGTACACAGTCCAGAGTTTTGAAATAAAAATACACTTGTATAGTTAGGCAAGGCAACAGAACTTTTGATGGTTTGACCTTCGAGCAGGCGCTTAACCTAAAAAACGTGAGAGGGCGCATGTGGAAGCTTTTTTCCGTATCACATAATACAAATTGAGGCTATATAATTTCATTCTATTTCAACCAAATTTTGCCTAAATCCTCCTCAAACTGAAAAAATTCTTCTCAAGTAAACCACACTGACTAATTTGCATCCCAGATTGAACCTAGGAAAAGGGTGTCAAATTTGTTTTAAGGAAAATCCAGTAATGTGGCGTGTAAGTAGAGAGCCAGAGATAACTGCCGACCCCAATTTCAAGCAACTTTTTTTACAAAATCTTAAACGTGAGGAGCAAGTTTAATGTAAGAATAATTAAAATTAAAAAGCGCCTATTGACTTTAATTGAAAAAATACTGTGAGCTCATAAAATCACCATAAAATCATTGAAAGTATTGATTGTTTATGTTTAATAAGCTTTCATGAATCTAAAACGGTTCAACAATAGCTGGATCATATCATATGAAATAGGCTACGACAAATTTTCGATTTTTGTCCCTGTTAATTAGATAGCCCTGATTGATTTTCTAATTAATCAGTGTTATAGGGCCTACATACCCTAACTTAGTTAGATGTACAGTACCGGTACCTTAACCAATCTTGGGTACAGTTCTGCAGAGAACCTGCAATATTTTATTGGTTTAACTTAAATTTAGATATACAGCAATTATAGGTGAAATTTCCTGTTAAAGGGAACATTCATTATTATCGATGACATTTTTCTATATATCCAATTTTTTATCCGATAGGCTATATGGCTGTTTTAAGAAATTGAAACATACCAGCTAACAACTAGTATAAAGAAATATTGTTTGTTATGAACATGAAAAGTTTAAAAAAATAAAATTTTCCTACAGTCACCCAACAAAGTGGACTTCCTTGCACTGATATAGTACAGAAAGCTGCTAGCTGCTGCATTTACTTACTTTGCCGCACAATTTTACTTGTTCGCACACCAGTACTCCAACCAAACAACACAAAACAGTGTCGCTTTTATTATGCACGTTATCCGTGTACGTTTGGAAATAGGTTGGCAACACTTGATATTACAACTAGGCCTACGATCAGCTGGCGCAGCGTTTCTTATTTCATTCAATGTTTGGATTTAACCCAATCTAAAGGCGTGTTGTACAGTGTTTGAAAGACTAATTATTTATTAATCCATAGTAACTGTAGGAAAAATCTCGTGAGTAAAACGAGTGCAAACTGCCTTTGCTGCACTCGAGAAACTTTATACACTCGACTACGGCTGATCATGCGTAAACATTTCTCTCGTATGCAGTGCCACTTTGCCCACTAGTCACACAAATAACTATTTATATTGAAATGAAACTTTTCTAAGCTAAGTTATCCTAACCTAACTAACTAAAATTGCTGTAACATGTCAAATTCCTTAACCCAATTATAATTTGGTTCGATGTGGTATATTGCTTCTAAAATTGTTTTCCCGATTTAAACATCGAATTGAGTTTTAAGTTATAATCTGTTTACGTTTTTAATGGTGTTTAATAAATGTAAACATCGACTTGGGCAAGTTAATGGTCTGTTTTAGTTTTTATTGATGTTTAATCAATTAAAGTAGACTTCAATTAGGTTTCAAGCTATTCAATCAAAAACAAATTATTTGTGTGTAACTAGTGGGTGAAGGGGCACTTTGCCGCACACAAGTGAAATGGTTACGCGCGAGCCGCAGGCGAGTGTAGAAAGTTTCTCGAGTGCAGCAAAGGTACCTTGCACTCGTGCTACACATTATATTTTTCCTAGGTACTATAAAGCATAAGTTATATATAATTAGACTTTCAAACACCGTACAACACGCTTTTAGGTTAGGTTAAATACAAGCGTTGAACGAAATGGGAACACTGGACCAGCAGATCGTACTTAGGCAGGCGTAGTATCTTTAAGTGTTGCCAACCTATTTCCAAGTGCAGACGGATTACGTGCCTAATAAAGCACGCTGTTTAATGTTTTTTGGTTGGAATAGGCCTAAGTTACTGGTGCGGAAAAAAGAGTCCGGCAAAAGTTAGTAAATGCAGCAATTAGCATTTTGCTAACTGCTTGGTGTACTATAATCAGGGCAATGACGCCCACTTTAAGTTATGTCAGGTGACTGTAGGAAAAATATATTCTACGAATTTTAACAAAACAAACAATACTTCAGTCAACCAAATCTTCATATTATTATTTTACCGGGGTACACTTCCATATCTGTTGGCACAAACAACCGAATGAAAATATCGATCGATATATCGATTGATATATGGAAAAAACAATCGAATAATCAATATTACTCATTCGGTTGTTTGTGCCAACAGATATGGAAGTGTACCCTTTTACCGTAACTTATAAGGTTAAAAAATGTATATAGTTTCTTCCATTTTTAGTTGTACACATTTAGGATAAAAAAGTCAAACTTTATTCATGTTTATGCTAATGTTTTTATTTATATCATATGGTAGCCTAATATTTAATTCTAGGCAATATTATTATCAAACCAAATTAAGTTAAGTTATTTAAGTTAATCAATAGCCTATGATATTTTTAATCCGATAATATTTTGCAGGTCCTCTGCAGAACTGTCTGTATTACCCCAATCTTAGTTTCTGTTATGAGTTTTCATTTTTATTTTTCTCTGTTTAAACTTAATTAATTTTACCTTTGACAGTTGATATAAACATGACTAAGTTAAGATAACATTTTGTTTATGTTTCTAGGCTAACCTGCTCAAGCAACTAAAATACAAACAATTAACTTAAGTTAAGTTACATACAACTAATTTAAGTTTATGTTGTAGGCTACATAACTTAAATTAACTTAATTTATTAAAACCCCTAAAGTATGTATTCTATGATTTATTGACTTTTAATACTAATTTATATTGAGATGAAATTTGGGTCAACTAACCTGGATAAATTGTCCAGGTACTCCTTGTACAGATACAACAGTTGGTGTTGTGAGGCCTGAAGCAGACGATACGTATGTTTTGACAGTTTGGCCCTGCAGTTGTTGAGTGATGTCATTGCTAGCAGACGATGACACTTGCTGCAGAGGAAGTAGATTTTGCAGTTGAGTCAATGTTATGACTTGTGGTTGCTGCTGGGCCTGTTGTGGCGGTGAAGGGCTGCCCAGAGGGTCCCGTGGGGCCATAGCATTTGGCTGGGACGCCACGGTATCAGATTCCTTCTGAAGATGTTGCAGAAGAGCCGCAGGAATGGTGTTGGAAACTACCTTGATCTTCTTCCCTCCCTGCTGAAGATTTTCGTGTCCAGATCCTATTTTGCTGCACGTAGCTGCTAGCAGCGCGAGAGGGGACGCCACCGACGACTTGGGTTCCTAAATGAGGCGGAGCCAAAAAGAAAATGGGTTGTCATCAGGTGTATAGCAAGGGACAACACTACTATCCCTAACACAAATCGTTACGCGCGCGCTTCACAGGACACAAGAAAACACTCCCACTTCCCCTCCCCCTAGGCTCGACTCTCGATTGATTTACTGAAACTTACCTGATTGTGATGGTTTGACAATACACAATCCGTCTTCGAAGTTTTAGGTGACGAGGTCATCCTGGCACTTCATGGAAATAACTTTTACCACCACAATGTCGATTATTTATTGAAATAAACACCTAAAGTCACGACACATGTACAATCCTACAGCCCAACCTCGAAAACGACGCAGGAAATCATTTACGAGTGTATCCTTGCGCCGATCAATACAATGAATTTTGCTTATTCTAACATTGGGGACATTGACTAATTACGAAATGTTCTTGGATTTAGTACAATAATACAAATATCCTCACCCTGGCCAAGGATCGCAATCTAGAGTAATAAAACAAGCTTGGTTTCACTGCCAGTCAGGAACTATTTGGGGCGTGGACGCTTGGCGGAGTAACTCGGCCCCACTCCGCCCATTGGCAGGCAACACAATGCCCTACCCTAGCCTAATCTAAATTTGTTTTATGTTCGGAGGGTCCCAGCCTACGCCAGCCCAAATAATGTGCCACCCACGTGCTTTGGGTTTGATGAGGAACATAACTAGAATATATTCATGGAGCATTTCCCTCATTTCAGTTTTCAACCGGTTTTCTGTATTAATTCTTATTTGTCTCTAGATACTGTAACGGTGCTGACAACGAAGTTCAAGGTTATAAGTATCGATTGAATTCAAACTCTCTTCCAGCATTCAGGTGGTACCATAAATAAAAGGTTTATTGTTAATTTAACTAAATTATTAAATTGTAGTTTACATGTGCATTACTATTGTATGGCAATCAACTTGTGAAATAAAAGTTGCAAAATAATTGTATTATTTTTCTTTTTTCAGGCCTTTTTATTTTTATTTTAACTTTTAATCCTGTTCTATACTCCTCATTAACTTCTTAATCTTCTCTCTAAAAATTCACATCATACTTGTAAAAATAAATTAAAATATTTCTATATTACTGTATTAATAGACATACGGTTGTAATGATTAATAAAAAATATATAAAATGAATAAATATAAGGTGGGAGTGTAGTTTAATCTAATCGCACGTAATTATGTTATTTTGTTTGTATTTTTTATGTTCGATAATACATCGGTCAGAAATACCTCCGCCATTGCAAACTGATTGGATGGATTTATGCTCAAATATTTCCAAAGATTCCCCGCCGCAGCAAACCTAAATTCCATTTATCTGAATTGATTTCCAATTAAATCTATTCAAATAACATTAGGTTATTAGGTTACTGTTATTGTTGAAATTCATATGTTATTGTTATTTTAAAACTCATATATTTATTGTTATTGTTGGAACTCATATATTTATTGTTTGTCGTTCATTTATTTTTTCACTTACTATTCTTATTTGTTGTTCTTGTTCATGGGTTGTTATTTAAAGTTCTGCTTTGTATACGTCTATTTCGATACTGCTCAAATCAAATTGTATTTACTTACTGCATGTCATTGTCAAAAATTATTTTCTATGTTTATGTTTAAGTTAGATTAAGTCATCTATTCAACAATTGGTTCTTGACCGTTGGAAGGTAAAATAAAATAAAATAAATAAATTAGGTTTAACAAGTACCTAGGGTTGCTGCTACATCGCTGAGTGAAAATTTAAAAACGTACGTTTTCATGTCCCTGGCCTTTTACTTCGTAGATACTGGATTTGTAGTTTATTATTATGTGTTTTAATATTTTTTGGGACGGGGGCAACATGTTACACACATTTATTTAGTTTTAAATAGGTTCTGGGTATTTTTTTCGTATTTTTAAAGTCTCGAAATTCACGACCATGACGTGTCCCTAGGGTACATTTTCCAACTTTCACGCTGTTTTTAGACTAATTATTCATACCGAAATATATAAAGCCATATTTTTATGTCATCAATGGTTATTAAACTTACAAAAAAGGAGCATATTATAATTTTATTGTCATTGCAGACTGACTACCATGACAAAATAAGTCTGTCCCTCGATTTGGCGTCACGACCATTTGGGGAAAATTTTCAACTTTGGAGCACGGCAGTGGCAAGCCTGGCGTCGATGGAGTCAGTTGGTTTTAGAGACTAGTTCGGGGTGTACGTCAGGATTGTAGTGCCGGTCGTTTCGAGTTGAAACGAGGAATTACAAGATTAATAAAGGAAAGATTGTGTTTTTTGTAATTTTGGTGTGTCCATGACCGTACGTAGTCATTCGATGAAGTAGACATGGTGTTAATTTTTGTTTATAAGATATTTCAATTGCTAGATCAACCTAGAAGTCCACTTTGTATCCTCGAACATGAGGTGCAGGGCTACCACCAGAACAGAGCCAAATAACACGTAATTTCACGACCAAAGTTTCACGACCAAAGTTTCACGACCATCGCGGTTTTTTTCACGACCAATCCAGCCTTATGGATTATAGTGTGTTTGGTCGTGACAATAACTTTAATATAATTGTAAATTGAACAGTTTAGTTCAATTGAAACACATAGTTATATTATAACTAACAGTATAATTGAAGGATTGTTTGGAAAGATTTAGATTATTCCAGACAATTCACGACCGTACCACTTGTCCCTGACCATCACGTTTATGATTTCTATCATAAAAATTTCCAAAATTAAAATATCGTCATATTTCAATGTTTTATACACAAAAGAAGCACACCTCTATACAAACATAACGATTTTTCGGGTCTCAGGTAAGTTTTTTCGGAGTTATACAAACTTAAAAGGATTTTATTGACTTTTTTCTATTTTTTTGAGTTTTTTTTAATTTTTTTCTAGAAAGACCAAATATACCAAAAGCTCAGTGACCTTTTTATTGTATAATGGTCATAAAAGTAAATTAGTTTATAGCAAAACATAGTTATAAAAATAATATTAACTATTTTTAATATTCATTTAAACGTCCGATATGGTCGTGACAGGATTTTGTGTTTTTCTACTAAAGATGCTCTTTAAAAAGAAAACTACCAAAGATATTGCGTTACCATGGACATTTTATGAAACTTAAAATGTTAATGAAATAAAAATAATAATAAAAGTTTTGAAAAAAGGGGAAAAAAATTTGCAAAGTGCTTTTCCTGAAAACGTACGTTTTTAAATTTTCACTCCGCTACATGGAAACTAATAGTGTGTTTTTTTAGTTAAATATGAATAGCTTAGTATAAAATAAATCAATTTGCCAAGTTTGATCAAACTATATCCATAAACAAGCAAACTACAACATTTTACAATATTCTCCATAAGAATAACACTAGGAGGATTAAACATTAAAAATAACATTAGAATTTTATTTTTTAAATTTCTTCCGTTACCAATAACCATACAAAAAACACTTTGATATAGGTACTATAACTTATTTGTTGTTTTAAGCTAATTAAAAAGGTCTCGAGAGAAATTGGGAAATGTTGTGTTTTGAGGGTCAAAAATGAGAAAACCCATTTGTAGGCCTACCCCGTTAAACCCCGTTCCCATAGTCCGATCATGCTGGTTCGCGAATTCATTCTAGTTTATCCCGCCTTACACATTTAGACTAAATTTCGTAACAATCAGACAAAAATTAAGTTATCGCGTTCACGGACGTAGGCTATATATATTTGAACGAATGGTGTTTATAGCCTCTGTGGACATCAAAATGAAAAAGTTCATCGGTCCCGGGCCTAGTTCTTACCGTGCCACCTACGGTAATAGCTACTTCCTTTAAAACAAATGAATCCCCATTGAAACTACATTAGATGATTTAACGAGTACTTTGTTTGGTATTGGTTAGCTGCTACGGGGGAAGGAAAACGTGTTTTTTTTTTTCAAAATGTTAACAGAACCAAAAAATAAAATGGATATCTAGCAAAAAAAAAAATAATAAATGTTGTAATATAAAATAACAAAATAAAAAATAAATCTCTAAACAAACAAACTACAACAATTTTCTTTTCCTCCAAGAATTTTAAATTTAGCATTGTGGAATTCTCCGTAACTTTTAATCATTCAACAATGCTTCGGAGTACAAAATTGTTTGTTTTGTATTATTTGTTTTAATTGTTTGTTTGGACGCTCTACATATGACCCAAGTAGTGGGGCCTTGATACGACGGCCGCAATGAAAATTTAGCATTTTCATGTTTTTATGTGTAGCCTAAGCATTTCAAAACACAATTTTTTATAAAATTCTAATCCCTATAACACCCCGTTCCTATGTTCCTATCACCATGCTTGCTGCCAAAACTCATTCAAGTTTATCCAGCCTAAATTTCATTCTTCCAAATTTATTCTTGCCAAATTTCACCGAAAACGGGCCAAAATAACTCGAGTTATCGTTTTTACGGACACACACATATATATATTTTTATTTATAGTTATACAACAAATTAACGAATCTAGTGTTTTTGGCCACTGGGGACATCAAAAAGAAAAAATTACATTTTCCCAGGGCTAGGGCTATTCCACGGCTATTCTTACCAGCGAGCACATAATAATAATAATAATAGAGAGGACACGGCGTTTAACCAAATGCACTGAAAGTGTGGCCAAATCCGCCATCTTGGTCCGTCATACAGCCTGAATCCAAGACCCGCGAGCACAGTTCGCATTAAAAACCCCGCGACAAATACACGATCATAAACAACATTAATAGTTGACAAAAAATTCTGAAATTTTGCATACTTGTAGATATGATACTGAGGAAAACGATGGTGTTAATATAAAACTATTAGTTACGATAGTAATTGAGTTATAAATATGTTTAATACTTATGTAGTTTAATTTTTCAATTTCAGACATGAAAAAGTTGTATTGCGAGGAAATTTTTTATTTTTTGGTCAGAGAAATTTCGTCAGCGGGAAAGTTGTGGATAAATAACCAAATTTAACTATACGATTCACCAAAATTTGTTATCATGTTCGGTTTTCTAAAAAATCAGGTACAAAAGGGATCGATTGCCGCTGCTCCGCGCCACGCCCGCTGCGCCGCCGGCCGTCTTCTATACATTTAGCGTGCAGTGTTTTAATGTTTTATACTGTTGTACTGTAATATTGTATATATTAAAGAAGTTTTCAAATATATTGTCTATGTAGAATTTTCAACCGTTTAGCACAACTTTTTAAGGACTAATTAGCTTTCAATATCATTCAAGATAAACTAAAGATAATTCTGTAAGTTAAATTAAACTTCCTAAATATATTTGTAAAATTACACTCAATTTATTGTCCCAGAAAAATTAC